TGAGGTCTAAGGTGGACCTGACCCAAGCCATGGCATTTTCAGTAGTCTCACATGCATGTGAAAGTTGATAACAGTGAATAAGGAAGACCAAAGAAGAATTGATGCATTTGAGTTACAGTGTCAGAGAACATTATAAGTACCACGGACTGCCAGAAGAACAAAAAAAAAAAGCTGTGTTGGAAGAAGTACGACCAGATGTTCCCTAGAAGCCAGGATGGAGAGCGTTCATCTGGCGTACTTTTGGCATGTTATCAGGAGGAATCAGTTCCTGGAGAAGGACATCATGTTTGGTAAAGAGGAGGGTCAGCAGAAAAGAGGAAGTTCCCAAAACGAGATGGATTGGCACAGTGTTAGCAGCAATGAGTTCAAGTATAACAATTGTGATGATGGCTCAGGACCTGGCAGTGTTTTGTTCTGTTGTGTATAGGGTTGCTGTGAGTCGTAACTGACTTGATGGCACCTAACAACAACAACAAAATATAGGAAAACAAATTTGGCCATGGAGAACAATAATAAATTTAAGTTGGGACATGTTGAGAATGAGGTGCTTACGGAATATCAAGGCAGAACTATTCCAAAGAGAGTTGGATATTCAGAGGTTGAAGCTCAAAGGAGAGATCTAACCTGGATAGATAAAATTCATGAATTGTAAGCATGCAAATGAAATCATGGGAGTGGATGAGATTCAGTCAGAAAAGTATATAGAATAAAAAGAGAGGTGGAGAATATCAACATTTAAAGAATGGGAAAAGGAAGACCTGCCTGTTAAATTATTTATTTATGAGAAGCCAGAGAAATAGGGGAGAGATTATTCAGAATAACATCATGAGCACAACAGAAAGAGCTTCAGGAAAGTGAGATAAATATCAAAGAGTTAGTGTCTATTAGATTTGACCATCAAGAAATTTTCCATTGGAGAAACTTATCCTACAGGTATGCTCAGATAGATATACAAAGATATATATGAAGGCAGTGGTGGTAGCATGAATGAATGGTGGCAGTGGTGGTTATGTGCCGTGGAGTCATTCTGACTCATAGTGACCCTGCACAGAGTTTTCAAGGCTGTAAATCTTTACAGGAGCAGAAAGCCTCATCTTTCTCCCACAGAACCCCTGATAGTTTCAAACTGCTCACCTTGAGGTTAGCAGCCTGACTTGTAACCACTACGCTGCCAGAGCTCCTTGTATGAAGAGGGGGAAAAAAAGAAATATAAACAAAAATAAAAATAAAGGAAGAAGAGGAAAAGGGTAAAATATTAATAAAAAGGAAGGAAGAAGCAGTAGAAAAATTAGAGAGAAAAATTAAAAGGTGGTATAGCATTGGGCGTATGCACTTCTAAGTCTACCTCTGACTGCAGAGGCAGCAAGTGCTTGACACAGTCTGCATGAGTGCATGACCCAGTCACAGGGGAAGCATTGTAACAGTAGGTGCAATGTGTCATCCGTGAGACTATGCAATCCTGACCACAGAGGAGGTGAGCATATAGCATGTGATGCATGAGAGCATGCCCCATCGACTGAGGGAGCACATCTCAGTTCATTGGGGGCATGGGTGATAGGATGCTGTGGGTAAAGTGGGAGAGGTGGTCCAATCAAACCAAGTTGGGGGAGATCACTGACCAGTGGGTTGGTTGGGGTTGGGTGGCCTCATCCTGGTCACAAGGATGGTGTGGATATAAAGCAGAATAACATATTTTTGCCATCACTGTTTACTGGCATACGCCCAGTGCACTCCTTGGCAAGTGCAGGTGGTTATCTAGTTTCTGGCCCAACACAAGCAAGTGGCAGGGGTGGGGGCTGGTTATCCAGAGTCCAGTGTCTCCAGCTACTACCTTGCAGGCTTCTTCTCTGCTTGGGCTCCCAGGCCAAATGAGTGGTTTATAGTGGCTCTCTCCCTGCTCTGTAGTCACCTGTGCCAATGAAGTTCCATTCTGCTTTCCAGCACTTTCCTTTCTTAGATCTAGCTGGTGTTCTGCTCACATTGCTTCATTGCAGATTTGTTCACACTGTGTCACTGTCTTATTGGTGATTCTATGACATTAGCCTCTCCTCACCCATGTAAGTACCAAAAAGGCCACCCCGTGCTGGGCCTCAACTCTGTCTCTCTCCTCATTCACTGTTTTTGTGCTGCTACTTTTCCTAATTGGTGTTTAATCTGATTCTTTATCCTTTCATTTGGTGCTTAGAGTTCCATGATCATCATCTCTATCTGTTTTACTTGTAAAGGATGGATTGTCTCACCAGGATGCCATCTAATATTATATTTTCATATTTTGATAATTATACTGTGGTGGTTGTCTAAAGTAAGATCTTTGTAACACACAGGGAAGTATCTGGAGGTAAAAGGGAATAATGTCTACAATTTATTTTCAATTAGCAGGAAAAAATAGACACAATATGTAAGTACAGAGTGATGAAAAGCAACAGGGGAAAATTTAAATAATTGCTTAATCTGGGTAGGGTATACAAAAGTTCCTTGAATTATTTTTATAATTTTCCTGTAACTTTGAAATTATAAGTTACAAAAAAAAATTTTTTTTAATGTCATGGCCACACTGATTCTTCCTTCCATCTCATCTATTCTACTCTTCTGCCCTTTTAGGGGAGTAGAATAGATGCAATGGAAGGAAGAATCAGTGAGCTGGAAGACAAGTCTCTCAATTCCACTAAGATAGAAGAACAAACCCAAAAAAGGGTAAAAAATTCAGAGGGAGTTTTCTATTTCTGCCATTTTGTTGTTAATTGTTTGGACCTCTTTCTGTAGGTTTTGGATTGTTACTAATGCTGTTTGATTGTTCCTGTAGCGCTTTTCTGACTTCTTCCTTATTTTTCTCAACTCCATTGTAAAGTGTTTTGAAACATTTTATAATCATTTTTCTGAATTCTTTCTCAGGTATCTCCAAGGCCTGCCCTCCTTCCAGCATGGAGAGAAGGTCTACTTCTGGTTCATTTGTCTCAGATATTTTATCTTTTTTCTGGACATGTGTCGATATGGTCATCTGCTTTTGCTTCTTGGACATGTTTAATGTTTATCTGTGGTCCTAATAATTAATTATGTGTTTTGGTAATTTTTTATGTTTTCTGATTACCTCCAGGAAGATGTGATCAGAATGTGGTCTTCCCTTTTCACTTTCCTTATTGCTTAACTCAGAGTAACATTTTTGGGCCTCAGTTAGGCCTGGGCCTCAGCGGCGGGCCGTTTGGGCCTCAGGCTGGTGGGTTGAGCCTAGAGCGGGCGGTTTGGGCCTCTGGGGGCCTGGGCGTCAGTGACCGGGCTGCAGGAGGTTTGGACCTTGGGCGGGTGGTTTGGGCCTCGGGCTGGTGGTTTGGCCCTTGGGTGGGCAGTTTCGGCCTCAGGGGGTCTGGGTATCAGCAGCTGGGCACCGGGCAGCTTGGGCCTCAGGGGGTGGGGTGGGCAGATTGGGCCTCGGGGGGCCTGTGCCTCGGGGACCAGGCTGAGGACGGGTTGGGTCTCAGGGGCACTGGGCCTTGGCGACCAGGCTACGTGGTGGGTTGGTCCTCCGGGGCCCTGGGCCTCTGGGGCCCTGGGCCTCAGCGACCTGGCTACATGGCGGGTTGGGCCTTGGGGGCCCTAGACCTCGGCGGCAACCGAGCTGTGGACTGCCTGGGCAGTGAGGCGGCTAGGCGATTTGGGCCTTGGTTGGGCCTGGGCCTTTGTGACAGTCTGTGGGCGGGTTGGGCCTCAGGGCAGGCCTTGTCCTCAGTGGGCAGGCCTGTGCCTTGGGCATTCCTGAGCCTTGGTGGCTTGGCAGAGTGCTGGTCTGGGCCGGGGCAGTAGAGGGCTGGAGGCAATGGCTGCAGGGAGGTAGTGTCCGTATTTGATGACGTAAAAAATGCCTCTCAGTCTCTCTGTACAGTGGGTACCCCGAATTTCCTGATATCTGTGCCGATATCCCTCTCTATTTGTTTGGTTTTGTTAGTTTATGCTTCCTTTTCTCTGGAAATGCAGCCTTCTAAGTGGGGTTGCTATAGCCCTGCATTCCAAGGTCTGCAGGGGGCAGAGGCACTCGCCGGCACGGGCGCGGAAGCGGGAGCTGCGTTCAGGCAGGCAAAAGCTCAAAATGCCTGTAATTCCTTAGCAATTTGATCTTTTAAAAAAACGAGTTCAGAATGTTGGAATATAAGATCTAATGTTTGTTCAAAGGCTGTCTATCTGCTAGACAGTGGTTTCTTATGTGCGATTCTACCCCTTTTCCCCAAGACTGCCCTACCTGAGCTGCCTGGTCAGGGAAGCACCCCTACAAGTCTTTTAAGGGCTCAAACTTCAAGGAGTCAAGATTTGAAATGGCTCAGGAGGGGTTGTCATTACCCCTGCCTTAACTACAGGTTGCTTTCTTAATTCATCCAGGGACTCTGTGCATAATTGGTGAGGTTGGGGAAATAATCACTTTTCTTATGGAAGCAGACATTACCAGAATACTTTTCCAGGTCTGGCAACTGCAGGCTTCAAAGATTATGGAATATTTGTGCTGTGGGTTAACGCACTGGACTGCATGCTTGGTTTGAACTGCGAGGTCAAGCTCACCAGCCGCTCCTCGGAAACCCTATGCAGAGTCTGAGTCTGAACGTACTCAATGGCACTTAATGACAACAACTTAATAATAGTCACAGTACCTACCATTGTACCAAGAAATGTGCAAGGTGAGTTACATGTATTATCTCTTTCAATCCTCAACCCTAGGAAGTGGACTTTAATATACTCCTTTTACAAATAAGATAACGAGGCTCACGGAGTTTAGGTGACTTTCCCTAATTCATCCAGCTCTTAAGTGGTAGAGCACAGATTTGAATACTTCATGTCTCTTTGACTCCAGAGCCCATCTTTTCACTTTTGCACTACATAGTTGTACCACAGAAGTAGCAACCTTGCAGTTTCCAAGCATTGATTTGTTAAAAGGGGTCTTCCTAAACAGCTAGTGACTTTGAAGGAAATTTTATTTCAGCAGAAATTTATATATATGAGAATTTCTTATACCATTTCAAATGCATCACTTACACTTGATTTGATGGACTTAATGTCTCCAAAATCTCTAGAGGGGAACCTTTTCAGCCATACCCAGTTACCCTAGAAAGAAAAGGTGGAGAGTAGTGATGAGATTTAGTTGTCAACAGCCTTAGAGCTATGTCTCTTCCACATGAAGGGTTTATAGTTATACCATCAACACAAACAGGCTTCTTTCCTCTTCTGTTATCCTCCACCCCATGGACATTCTGTATTCTGAACAACAACAAAAAAGATGTGCATTCTGAGCTAACAACAGAGAACTTAGCGTTAAAAATTCCAATTAACTCAAGATAGGGAAATCATTGCAGGTATGCAGCCCCCTGAAAAGTAATGACAGCACTCTCTGCAATGCCTCCCTTAACTAACTGCAGAAACTGCTGGGTCATCTCACTTATTCATAGCTAAGTGATGTAGCACCAGGTGCCCTGTGATTAATGGGGATGGTGATGGTTGCAATTCCTGCTGCCTTGAGGCATCTATGGCTGGCCATGTCGGATAGCAAATGTAGTGCGGCAAGTGTTTCCTGCATTTACCTGCATCCATTTTTCTCTTGTGGGACAGACCATTTGGGGATGGAGGAAGGCCTCTTATGCTTTAATCACCAACTGATTGGCTTAGAGGTAAACAATGTATTATTTATTTTGATGCACAAATACATTATCATAGTAATATGAGTCACCTTATATTTGTTTTTTTTTTTAAAAAGTCTTTTTTCAGACTGTTAAAGTGTCAAACCGCTATTTCTAAGGCTTCTATCAAGTTAAAAACAACAATTATTTTCATTGCCTTCACTTTAGCACCAGTGCCTGATAGATCATTTTCTTCACTGTGCATGGCCTCAAGGATTCATCACTCATCAAGCCTTATTTAGTTTCGGTTCAACCCAAATTCTTTTTTTAAAGGCAATACAGATACAGATTCCTTTTCCTCTGTAATAATAATAACGCCTTACAATTCCGCAGCGCTCTTTACTCTTCAAAGTGCTTTCACATCTATTATCTGTAGCCTAGAGATTCCATTTCAGACTGCACCAATTTGTCATCAAGTAGAGATAATAAAGCAGAGAGCTCTGTGCAGTCAAATCCTGAGAATAAGAGAGTATAGTCACTCTCTTATTAAGTAGTATATCCAGCTGTGGCATTGTATCTGGAAACCTGCCTGAGGTAAAGGCTAATGGAAGCTGCCGATATCTGAGTTACTCGCCAACACTTTGTGTTTAGTGAGGACCTTCTAGCCAAGGAGCTCAAAGCCTTCTAACTAGGGTAGGGGTGGGGAACATTTTTCCTGCCAAAATTTATAACATCATTCCTGGGCCATACAAAATTATCTATCTAAAAATTAGCCTGCTATATTTGGTGAGACATTTAATTACCTCACCCCTAATGTGATGACTCACCAGCCACTCCTCAAAAACTCTATACAGGGTCAATATGAGTTGAAATCTATTAGAAGGCACTTAACAACAACAATGTGATGAGCCAGATGTTCCCTGCCCCTGACTCTCAGAGGCGTTCAGTGGCTGAACAAACTGTACCAGCCAGACTCAGTGGCCATGGAGCTCAGAAGGCTAGTCCAGGATCAATGTCTGCCTGCAAAAGAATGACCAAAGCACCAAAATCTAATTTCTCAGACTCTTGCCTAACAAATCTCCAAGCACAATCCTCCAAGCATGGATATCACCTGGGAAGCGAGTAGAAATGCAAATTCTTGGGCCTTATCCAAAACCTCTGCGTCAGAAATTTTGGAGCAGTCTCTGTTTTAACAGGCCCTCCAAATGATTCTGATGCATGCTCAAGTTTGAGCATCGGTCCTACTTTCCTCATTTCTGTGATAGTCTCCTCTACATTAACCTTTCACCAAGTTTTTCTCATCAATATCTGCTCTCAGCTAAGGAGCTAAAACTCACTTGTAAAGTGTATGAGAGAGCCTGACACCAAATTGAACGTTTATCCTTCAGAGGACTTTGCCCTTTAGAGGGAATAAAAGCTAAGGTTTAAACTGAAAGAATAAAATTCTAACTGGAAATTTACAAAATCAGTCAGTGTGTGGGATATGTTGGTGGACAACAAAACCTTACCAACGTTCTTGCAATTATTTAACTCAGCCTATGGTCACTGCTAGCTAGTATGGCCCCTTTGCACTGATTAGAAAAGAGTGCCCTCCCTCAAGTTAAAAAATAATAATAAATTATGTGAGTGTATGATTGAACAACCCTTGGCAGTCCTATGATGGCAAAAAACAGCCCTAACTCTATACATGTACATGCACGTACCCACTCATCCTCCAAGACACCAGCGAATACATCCACTAGCAGCACACAGAACTGCACCCTACCAAATTCTGACTGTCAGAGATAAGACCTCTGTCTGTTTGGGAGTCAAGGTAGGAAGGAGTGGGACGTTGGAAACGGGCCTCCAAGAAAACTAGGCAGAAGAGAGCTGCCACCTCAGAGAATTCCTGGGCATGCTCGGGATAGCACATAACTAGGTGCATTTGTCTTTCACAGTGACTTTACATGTACCTGATCAAGTGTGCAGGTATCAGTATCTACATGAGAAGGTTCCACTCTCCACGATCCAGAACTGGCTGGGAAACCCAGAATATCTGTGCCCACTCATGCACCTCTATCAGATAAATTACTATGGCTATGATATGAAGTCCTAATGTGGTGCTGTGGGTTAATGCGCCAGACTGCAAAGCCGTTTGAACTGCAAGGTCGGCAGTTCAAGCTCACCAGTTGCTCCTTGGAAACCCTATACAGGGTCGCTATGGGTTGGAACTGACTCAATGGCACTTAACAACAACAACAATGTGAATAATAAACCTATCTGTGAAATGCACAACCTGAGCATCAATACTAGCAACCTTGACTGTGCCAATTCCTATCTGCTATTATAAGGTTTTCAGTGACTAAATATTCAGAAGTAGTTTGTCACTCCTTCTTCCTAGTCTGTCTTAGCCTGGAAGCTCATCTGAAACCTGTCCACCATGGGTGACCCTGCTGGTATTTAAAATACCGGTGGCATAGCTTTCAGAATCACAGCAACTCACAAGCCACCACAGTACGACAAACTGACAGATAAGTGGTGGAAAGCAGAGAATATCAGAAAGATGTTTACCTGTGTTTTACTGACTACCCAAAGGCTTTCGGTTGTGTGGATCATGGCAAGCTATGGACAACATTGCGAAGTATGAGTATTCCAGAACACTTAATTGTGCTCATGAAGAATCTGTACCTGGACCAAGAGGCAGTTGTTTGAACAGAACATGGGAACACTGAATGGTTTAAAATTAAGAAAGGTGTGCGACAGAGTTGTATCCTTTCACCATACTTATTCAACCTGTATGCTGAGCAAATAATCCAAGAAGCTGGGTCATATGAAGAAAAACGTGGCATCAGGATTGGAGGAAGACTCATCAACAACCTGCGATATGCAGATGATACAACCTTGCTTGCTGAAAGTGAAGAGGACTTAAAACATTTACTGGTGAAGATCAAAGAGCACAGCCTTTGGTATGGATTACATCTCAATGTAAAAAAAAAAAAAAAAAAAAAAAATCCTTACCACTGGACCAATAAACAGCATTCTTATCAAAGGAGAAAAGATTGAAGTTGTCAAGGACTTCATTCTTCTTGGATCAACTATCAACACTCACGGAAGCAGCAGTCAAGAAATCAAACAATGCATTAGGCAAATCTGTTACACAAGACCTTTTTAAAGTGTTGAAGAGCAAAGATGTCAGCTTGAGGACTAAGGTGCACCTGACCCAAGCCATGGTATTTTCAATAACCTCATATGCATGCAAAATCTGGACAGTGAATAAGGAAGACTATAGAAGAATTGATGCTTTTGAGTTATGATGTTGAAGGAGAATATTGGGAGTGCCATGAGTGGCCAAAAGAACCAATAGATCCGTTTTGGAAGAAGTGCAGTCAGAGTGCTCCTTAGAGGCCAAGATGGCCAAACTTCGTCTCTCATACATCAGACATATTGTCAGGAGGGACCAGTCGCTGGAGAAGGATATCATTTTTGGTAAGGTGGAGGGTCAGAAAAAAAGAGGAAGGCCCCCAATGAGATGGATTGGCCAAGTGGCAGCATTGATGGACTCAAGCGTGGCTACAGTAGTGAGGTTGGCCCAGAATTGGGCAGTGTTTTGTGCTGCTCAGTACTGACTCAGTGTTTTGTGCTGCTCGGTACTGACTCAGTGGCACCTAACAACAACAACAACAACCTTCTTCCTGGAGTCGGCCCTATTTCAAACATGGGTTAGCTTTCTGTCTGGCTTATTCATTTCCACCAACAACTTAACAGAACTTTTCCCTGTCAAAAGCAAAATAAAGCAAGCCCACTACTGTCAAGTCAATTCTGACTCACAGTCACTCTACAGAACAGAATAGAACTGCTCCCCAGGGTTTCTGAGGATGAAAATCTTTGGTCAAGCATACCACCTCACCTTTCTCCTGCAGTGAAGCTGGTGAGTTTGAATGAAATCGCTGAGCTTTCAGTTAGTAGCCAAGTGCTTAACCCACTGTACCACCAGGAGGCTGAAAGACTAATAGGCAGCCCTAATCTACTCCTTTCATGGTTTGAGAAGGAAACTGAAGCCTGCAGAGATTAAGTGACTTGTCGAAGATCAGAAAGCTAGGGTAGTAACAAACCCAGGACCTTTCAGATCTTCCAGCTCCTACTTTGTGTCTTTCATTTATTTGGGTTCTTTTTGGTTTGGAGAATGTGTGTATAGTTTTTTTAAGAATTGAATAATTCTCACAAACTTTATAAGGTTTAAAAAAAATATTATTTAGTCTATGTGCATCCTACTTCATGAATAATAAGGGAAGAAATGGGCAGGTTTTATCTTCACTATACATGCACTATTTGTTTTGGTTTTCTTTTAAGAGAGAGAATGATAAAATACTTCACTCATCACTCACTTTTTAATTAAGAAGAGGAAACATCAAACTCTAATCACTGAAGTTTTTTAAAGTAATTTAAAGTCCATTGGTTTTGCATTAAGGCTATGGTGTATTGACTAAGAGTCAAGAGAGCAAGGTCCTTGAACTGGTCAACCTCAAACTCAAGGTTGGCCTTAGGGCAGCTGCTAAACCAGTCTGAACTTTTGTTTCCTCAATATTAGAGTTAGGCTCTCTAGATGATGTCTTACGTCCTTTTCAGTTCTGACCATCTATGTTTCTGTGATGGGAAAGAAGATGGTTCATGGAAAGGAAAATGGGTGGGGAGAGAGCTATGAGGACTATAGAAATAGGTGGGGAAATGGGGGTGGGGAAGGTTCTGGAGGAAGGAGAGGAATGGGAGACGGCGTGCAGGGAGAGAGAAAGGTGAGACAAAGAGGACAACCTGGAGTGGCAGAGAAGCAGATGGAGCCTGAAAATGAAGATGGATGAAGTCAGTAGGCTCTCACTGGGTGTGTCAGGCTCAAGCTGCTCACCACCTCATCCCTCAGCCCCTGGACTGTGGCTATTAGAACAGATCAGAATGTGCTCCCACTGCATCTGCCATTCATAGCTATTTCTGCTGGCACTCAGCTCATTGGCCTTTTCTTTCACATTTTGAAAGGTATCTATGAAATAAAGTACGAGTTTCCTGTATAATCCCGGAGGTTTGGTATAATATGTGAATTTATGTCAATGTAATGCCATGTGATGACACATCTTGCAGAAGCCTGTTCTTTGCTGTTAGGTGTGCTACTTCAGACACATGATCTGAGATTTACAGATCTTTCTATATCAATTCTTATTAAAATTTGTTGTATTAAAAAAAAAAACAACCCAGAAACTAAATGATAAATTGAGGACCATTGTGTTTGATATGCCAACTTAAGTTCCCTCCCAGAACCCTCTTCAGTTCTAGTCAGTTTTCTAGCCTCGACTGTCTTACTTGACACCCATCCATCAACCTAATCTTGACTGTTTAATCCTCACTGACCCCTTCCTTTTGTACAGATAAGGGCCCCCTTTGGCCTACACAGTTCAGAAATACCCGCAATCAATCTGACTGAGCAACAGTCATTCTGGGAACTAACTCAACTGTCTACCTACTTCTAAAACAAGCAATTATCTGATAGATTCTTAAAGGACAGTTAGATACAGATATTTACTTTTCCCCTTTTGATTCTATACTATACCCTCCCAAGCCCACCAAAATAAAACATACCAGAATTAAGCATAAAAATTAATCTATGGAATCAGAGAACTATAGTATAGCCAAGTCAAAAGAGACTTTGTTGTTATTGTTAAGTGCCATCGAGTCAGTTCTGACCCATAGCGACCCTGTATAGGATTTCCAAGGAGCAGCTGGTGAGCAGCTGGTGAGCTGAACCATCGACCTTGTGGTTCAAAGTGACTTTTCAGTCACTTTTTAGCCCACAGTGCCACACCAGGACTCACAAAAGAGACATTAGAGATCTCAAAAGAGACTTTAGAGATCCAGCACTTCTCAACCCTGGCTACACAGATAGGGGAATTTATCCTATCAACTGAATCCAAGCCAACCCCAGAGAAATTGGGGGTGTTTAGTCTGAGTGTGGGGATTATTTGTTGTTCTTTTTTTAAGTTTTTCTAGGAGGTTCTAATGTGCAGACATATTAAGAACCACTGCTTAATTCAACAGTTTATCTTATAGATTAAAAACAAAATAACAAAACAAGGCAATGCCTCTGCTTTTGAGATTTCCTTTAGTATATTGTTGTTAAGTGCTGTCGAGTCGATTCTGACCTATAGCAACCCTGTATAGAGTTTCCAAGGAGCAGCTGGTGAGCTTGAGCCGCCGACCTTGCAGATCAACCCAACTTTGTAGTCCAGTGCATTAACCCACAGTGCCACACCAGGTGTCAATACATTGACATTCCAAAGCTATATGATTACCTTGTCTTTGGTCTTTCAAAGAAGCAAGCTGCTGATTCCCCAGTACTTCTAGTTTACATTTGAAGTACATTTTCTCTCTGATTAAATCAAGTCTAAGGCAAGATCTGAAAATATCCTGTCACTAATTTAAGTCAAAGCACTCAGGTACACTGAACAAATATATGATACTATCTTGGCATTAAGGAGCTCTGGTAGCGTAGTGGTTACGAATCGGGCTGTGAACCGCAAGGTCAGCAGTTCAAAACTACCAGCTGTTCTGCGGGAGAAAGATGAGGCGTTCTGCTCCCGTAAAGATTTACAGCCTCGGAAACCCTGTATAGGGTTGCTATGAGTCGGAACCGACTCCACAGCACATAACAACAACAATATCTTGGCATTATAATCCACTACCCATTACTTATACAATGGAAGAAAGCATTAACCTGGAAAGTCCAAAAGGGTAGACAATTCAAAAATCCATTCCTGCTTTGGACTTTCTTTGTAGTTGCTGTTGAATTTGAAAGTGTTTGCAGCTCTTGGGTATATCTTCAAACAATAGAAGGAAACCACACTGGGAAAGCCTTACTTAAGAGGCACAAAGAGACAGTCTAGTTTCCCTTTTACCCCCTGCTTAACTCTTTCCTGATGGGAAGAAACAGTTGATCTCTCCAGCTGATTCAAAATTTGTTCTAGTTACCAAATTCAGTATCTTAGAACAACGGGTTAGGGGGTAGCCTCTTAATTTAAAAAAACAGAAAGCTAAGTGAAATAAAAATAATTTCTAGATCATATAACAGTAAGCAACCTGAAATGCAGTCTGAGAAAAGTTAACGAATCATTTTTAAGAGGATCAATAATATGAAAGAAAATCAATAGTATAAAAGAAATAGGAAGAACAATTAGAATATGAAGGGAAGTAGAGACCCTACCCTGCACAAACATGTCTCTGTACATCTCACCACAGACAATTAGCACAAAGAATCATTTCTTCTGTTCTTGTATTTATATTCTGGAATGAGTGACCTAAGTGTTTCGGTCTCAAGGATTCCTTTCCCACATGCACAGCAAATATGGAGCTGAAAGACCAATGAAGTTATAAGAAAGATACGTTGCTGAGGAAAATCATTGTCAAAAATGTTAAACAAATAAGTAGATATAGACAAGGAACTGGAAATACTTGCTTTAAAACATCAATATTCTCCCAAGACTAACTCCTCTAAGTCACTGCCTTGCTTTAAAACCCAAGAAGTTTACAGCTATCCTACCTCATAAATCGCTATGTTGGAGTTTTCATCTATAGCTGGAGCTAGACTCCCTGAAGAAAAGAAAAGTCTTGGGAACCTCCCACTTTGGACCTCTGAGGTGATCTGGAAGCTTACATCGTCACAACTGCCTATCTGTAAAAGGATGAGGAAATAAAAGTTATGAATACAATTCTCTAAATTTAAAACAGAGCATTGAGTTATGGTATAAATTATGTGTTTTTCTTCTTTGTCTTCCTATTCCTAAGAAAGTAACTGTAAGAGTTGAATCCTATAACATAAGATTGATCCATTTTCACAGTTGATGCCTTGTTTTGTCTCCATATACAATACAAACACAAAAAAGTTAAGGCTTGTAGATGCTTCTATTTGCTAAAGAAAATTAGAGTCATAGATTTAGATAGTAAGAAAAATCATAATAATCTAGTTTGGGGTCCCCATTTTAGAGACAAGAAACTGAGACCAAAATAAGTTCCCCATATGATTGTTGTTGTTATGTGCCGTGGAGTCAGTTCCGACTCATAGTGACCCTGTATAGGCTTTCCAAGGCTGTAAATCTTTATGGGAGCAGAAAGCCTCATCTTTCCCCCGCAGAACAGTTGGTAGTTTCGAACTGCTGACCTTGTGGTTCGCAGCCCAATTCGTAACCACTACGCTACCAGAGCTCCTTTCCCCATATCATATACCTAGTCAATTATATAGTTACAGGATGTCTTATTTATAAAAATCTAATATTTTGAATAAAATCTGTAGCAGAACTAGAACAGAGTCCCAAACTCCTTACTCTCAAGCCTGACTCTTTTCATTTTTATCATTCTAAATGACATTATTTTTTGTGCTTACAAGATTAATGGCAGAAGGTATCCCAGAAGGCAACACAATAGTGGACAGTGATTAGATCATCTGTCCATGATTTATGAGTCTGATGCATAAGTAGGCCAAATTCTCAATTCTTTGATTTTTCTAACTGGTATATATAGTCTCCTATATATATGTATATACATGCTCCATTGTATTCATGGACTCCTGGTGTGGTGTTGTAGGATCAGTACTAGACTACAAACTACAAGGTTGGTAGTTCAAACCCACTACCTGCTCCTTGGAAACCCTATATGGAGTCTCTGTGAGTCAGAACCAACTCGACGGCACTTAACAACAACAACAAATACATAGTCTGGTAAAAGAAGGCTGAAAACTGCACAATAAAATGATAAGAGGAACAGTTATCTGTAATCTGTGTTAACTTTTATATTTGGAACTTCTTTATCTTCAACTGAACCAGCAAATCAGTGCTGTTGTTGTTAGGTGTCTATGCACCATAGAATGAAACACTGCCTGGTCCTGGGCCACCTCACAATCATGCTATGTTTGAGCCAATTGCTGCTGCTACTTTGTCAATCCCTCTTGTTGGGGGTCTTCCTCTTTTTCTCCAACCCTCCACTTTACCAAACATGATATCCTTCTCCAGGGACTGGTTCCTCCTGGTAATATGTCTGAATTATGAGAGACGAAGTCTGTCCATCCTGGCTTCCAAGGAGCATTCTGACTATACTTATTCTAACACAGATCTGTCTGTTCTTTTGGCAGTCCATGGTACTTTTAATATTTTCCTCCAACTCAAATGCATCAATTCTTCTATGGTCTTCCTTATTCACTGTCCAACTTTCACATGCAAATGAGGTTATTAACAATACCATGGCTTGGGTCAGGCAGACTTAGTCCTCAAAGGGATATCTTTGCTCTTAAACAGTTTAACAATGTCTTGTGCAGCAGATTTGCCTAATGAAATATGTCATTTGATTTCGTGACTGCTGCTTCCATGAATGCTGATGGTTGATCAGAGCAAAATGAAGTCTTTGACAACTTCAAACTTTTCTCCATTTATATGGATGCTGTTTATTGGTCCATTGGTGAAGATTTGTGTTTTCTTTACATTGAAATGCAACCCATACTGAATACTGTGGTCTTTGATCTTCATCAGTAAGTATTTTAAGTTCTCTTTACTTTTAGCAATCAAGGTTGTATCATCTGCATACCACAGGTTGTTAATGAGTCTTCCTCCAATCCTGATGCCTTGTTTTTCTTCATATAATCCAGCTTCTCAGATTATTTGTTCAGCATACAGATTGAATAAGTATGGTGAAAGAACAACCCTGGTGCACACCTTTCCTAAACCATTCAGTGTTCCCTTGTTTTGTTCGAACAACTACATCTTGGTCAATGTATAGATTCCTCGTGAGCACAAAACAATTAACTGTTCCAGAATACTCATTCTCCCCAGTGTTGTCCATAGCTTGTCATGATCATGCAATCAAAAGTTTTTGCATAGTCAATAAACCAAAGATAAATATCTTTCTGGTATTCTCTGCTTTTCAGCCATCTGACATAAGCAGTGATATCTGTCTTTCCATTTCCTCTTCTGAATCTGGCTTGAACCTCTGGAAGTTCTCTGTCAATGTATAGATGCAGCCATTTTTGTATTATCTTTAGCAAAACTTTACTTGCATGTGATATGAATGATATTGTCTGTTGATTTCCACATTCCACTAGGTCACCTCTCTTTGGAATGGACACAAATAAGGATCTCTTCCAGTCAGTAGGCCAGGGAGTTGTCTTCAAATTTCCTGATATACATGGGTGAGTGCCTTCAGTGCTGCATCAGCTAGAAGATTTCAATTTGTATTTCATTAATTCCCAGAGCTTTGTTCTTTGCCAATGTCTTCAGTGCACCTTGGACTTCTTCCTTCAGTATCATTAGCTCTTGATCGTGGTTGAATATGCTACGTCTTGAAATGGTTGAACATCAACCATTTCTTTTTGTTACGGTGACTGTATATTCCTTTCATCTTCTTTTAATGCTTTCTATATCATTCAACATTCTGATCATAGAATCCATCAATATTTCAAGTAGAGGCTTGAAACTTTTTCTTTACTTTCTCAACTTGAGAGATGCTGAGCGTGTTTTTCCCTTTTGTTTTCTAACTCCAGGTCTTGGACATTTCTTTATAATATTTGATTTTGTCTTCTCAAGTTGACCTTTGAAATTTCCTATTCAGCTCTTTTACCTCCTCATTTCTTCCATTTGCTTTAGCATCTCTACATTAAGGAGCAAGTTTCAGAATCTCATATGACATCCATTTTGGTCTTTTCCTTCTTTCTTATCTTCTTAATGATCTTTTGCTTTCTTCCTGTATGATGTTCTTGATGTCATCCCACAACTCTTCTGGTCTTCGGTCTTTACTGTCTAATGCATCAAATCTGTTCTTAAGATGGCATCTTAATTCAGGTGGGATATGTTCAAGGTCATATTTGGTTCTCATGGACTTGTTTAGTTTTCTTCAGCATATGAGCAACTGATTGTCTGTTTCATAATCTGCCCCTGGCCTTGTTTTGGCTAATGATATGGAACTTTTCCACCATCTCTTTCCACATATGTATTCAATTTGATTTCAGTGTATTCCATCTGGTAAGGTCCATGGGTATAATCACCTTTTATGTTGTTTAAAAAAGGTATTTGCAATGAAGAAGTCATTGGTCTTGCAAAATTCTATCATGCGATCTCCAGAATCATTTCTGTCACCAAGCCATATTTTCAAACTACTGCTCCTTCCTCTTTGTTTCCAACTTTTCAATTCTAGTAACCAGTAATTATGAAAATACCTTGATTGAATGTTTGATCAATTTCAGATTGAAGAAGTTGGTAGAATTCAATTTCACTATCACTGGCTTTAGTGGTTGGTGTATAAATTTGAATAATAGTGGTATTAACTGGTCTTCCATGTAGGCATATGGATATTAGCCTATCACAGGCAGTGTTGTACTTCAAGACACTTCTTGATATATTCTGTTTAATAATGAATGTGAGGAATGTCATTCCTCTTCAACTTGTCATTCCTAGCATACTAAGCCATGTGATTCTCAGATTCAGAATGACCAATAACAGTCCATTTCAGCTCACTAATGCCTAGGATAGCTATGTTTATGTGTCCTATTTAATTTTTAGCAATTTCCAATTTTCCTAGATTCATCCTTTGCACATTCCATGTTCTGATTATTAATGGATGTTTACAGCTGTTTCTCTTCATTTTGAGTTGTGCTCCATCAGCAAATGAAGGTCTCAAATGCTTTACTCTATTCGCATCATCATGGTCAGCTCTACTTTGAGGAGGCAGCTCTTCCCTAGTTGTATTTTGAGTGCCTTCCAACTTGAGAGACTCATCTTCCAGCACTATATCTGACAATATTGTGGTGTTCTTCATCATGTTCCAATATTCAATATTATGGTGCTGAAAGTGTTACACTGCTATTCATAATGTTTTCATGACTCAATATTCAGAAGTAGTATGTCTCTTCTTCTTCCTAGTCTTTGTCTGGAGCTCATCTGAAACCTGTCCACCATAGGTGACCCTGCTGGTATTTAACATATCCATGGCATAGCTTCCAGAATCACAGAAACATATAAACTATCACAGAACAACAAACTGACAGATGAGTGGAGGAGTAAGCCAATAGGTTCCCTATATTCTTTTCCATGTCTCCAAAAGTGTCTTTCTTAGAATTATAGCAATTCAGAGCTAGTAATTATAGCCTTAAGGAGAGTTGGTGTTGCAATGGTTAACAGTTTGCCTGCTAACCAAAAGATTGGGAGTTTAAACACACCAGTCTCTGTGATCGACTCTCATAAAGATTGAATCAAAGATAACTCATTGCCATTGAGTCTATTCAGACTCATAGTGATCCTGTAGGACAGAGTAGAATTGTCCCAAAAGATTTCCAAGACTGTAATCCTTATGGAAGTATACTGCCACATCTTTCACCCAAAGAGCAGCTGGTGGGTTCCAACTGCCAACCGTTTGATTATCAGCTGAGCACTTTAACCATTGTGCCACCAGGCTCTTCTGTAAATATCACAGCCTAGGTAACCCTATGGGACAGTTCTACTCTGTCATATGGGAACACTATGAATTGAAATCAACTCAGTGGTACCTAACAATATCCAACACTCTCATTTCACAATGAGGGATCAGGGACCTGGAGGGGGATATGAGGCTGCAACAAGCATCTAGGTATTACATTTTCTGATCCTGTGCTCTTTCACCACATCATACTTTACTTCATTCTTGATTATCAATAAA